CCTTCTTCTATAATCAAGAAAAACCTAAGTTTTGACAGTTTTGAGATTTGAAGGTTTTTAAAACTGGAAAAAACTGTACATAATTTCTGTATGCAAAGCATCTGGTAAAATACTATTTGAGCAAAAATGAGTTTCGAACAAATAGCTTTTTCCAATTTCCACACTTATACAAAATAAAAATTTTTGACTTTTTGTATAAGCAAAAATATTTGTTAAGGTATGGCAAATATTTTGAAACTTGACGTTTGTCTTCTTCTTACAAAATTTTTAAAAATTTTTTTAACTTTTCCGTCTGGTTTATTATTTTTTTTGAAATTAGAATTTTTTTCTTTTCGTGATAATTTACATTGTTTTCTCGTTTAAAAATTTTTTTAAGTTTTATACCACACAGACCTATTAAATTTTACTTTTCAAAACCTGAAAAAACGTTGAAAAAGTTATATTATTTTCTCTCATTTTTACAGGCATGTAGAATTTGAGTAATGACACTTTCTGCATTATAGAGGTGGTACTGTTTTTCCTATAAAATAATTCTGTATTTTCTGTCAGGATTTTTTACAAATTGTTTTGATAGGGGGTTAATTAAAATTTTCTTCAAAGTTTTGTTTGAAATTTTTAGTTTAAAAATCGCCAATTGTTTTTTTACCTATATTGTTCTTAAGAAAACAAAATGGCTGGTTCGAAGCGTAAATTTTTTTATCAGGTGTAATTTTATTGAAGAAATGTCAACGAGACGAATGGAAAAGAAACAGTAAAATCTTAATATACATATTAGTAAATAAGCAGAATTTGAATTGAGAATTAAATATTTAAATATTCCATTTACATAAACAATGAAAAAAAATGACAGAAAACAAAGTTATAAAAAATATTGTAAATTCGGCTCTCTCAACTTGTGAAAAAAATCGCATGGAAACTAATTTGATCATTAAAAAAGTTGAAACCAAAATAGCGGAAAAGTCGGAAGATAATGGCTTACTAAAGCAAAAAACTAAGGGAAAGACAAGTATAAAACATGTCAATTCAAATATAGGGGGACGACTTCAATTTTTTAAAGGTAAGGGTAATTTTTTTTACATAGTTTATTGGAAATTTTAAAAGCATTTAACAAGAAATATAAGAGGTTTGTTAACCCATGTTTTCATTTGCTTTTATTCTTGAACTGCAAAAAAAAATTGAACTTTTACTTTTAGATGGAAAATTTATATTTGAATTAGCTAGGTCAAGCAAAGGGGAAAAGTCAGGTTGGGTTCCAGTTGCCAAAAATCTTCTGGGTAATACGCATGTTCAATACAAAAGCTATGGTAATTGTAATGGTAAATAAATATTACCTTTAAAGAATTAGGAAATATTTATATTTCAGGAAATTGTTTGTCCCAATCATTTATTTGGCAACGCAATCAAAAATGGAAGCAGCAAAATCCACAAAAATACAACCACTCCAATTTAGAAATATTCTTTAAAAGAACTGAAAATTTCATGTTGTCTGCTGACGGGGAAAGGTTGTCATTAAAGAAGAGAAGGCAGCCCTTAAATGAAATAATATGCGACAAACCGTTTAAAAGCAGTTATCAGTGTAAGGAAATCCAAAATTCAATAACAGGCACTAAACTAAAAAGAAAAAGTTTATCTAGAGTAATTCAAGGGCTACTTAAAAAAGCTATTCCCGAAAATAATGAAAGCCCCGGGCAGAATATTTCGAATCATTTGTACAACTCAAAAATAAAAGAATTTCAGAATCGACATCATATCTCACCTCGCAAGAGAATACTTAGAGAATTGGAAAAGGTATCGCTTGAAGATGTCTCAAAGAGATCCCGTGCTAAAGAAATAATTTCTTTTCAAATCGATACTGTGGTTAATGAATGTATACAATCGCATTCTTTTCAAAAAAGTGAAAGGAATGGGTTTTATCAACAAAATGAATCAAATGGACAGAATTTTCGAAATTCGTCAATTTTGCACAGTAATTACAGTATTAATTCCTTGTTAGGAAATGGTAAGAAGCAAATTACTAATTGTCGATCTATGCAAAATTCTAATAGTAACCTTAAAAAAGTCTCAATAAAACCAATTGAATTGACCTGCTCTGCCTTAAAAAAAAATAAAAAAAACCTAGTTAGGGAGGAAAACAGCGCAAATGATAATCATTTAGAAGAAATGGATTCAGAAAAGTTTAATCGAATCGTCAGTAAAACTAGATCAAATAAAGAAGATTTAGATATTACGACGAAGTCCCCGCTTAATTATTCAAAATATTTCAATATGGATAATATTACAACAAACTTTCAAACTGATATGTCAAAACAAAATTTTTATCGGCCATTCTCTTCAATTTTTTGCCAAGGACAACCCCCTCCTAATATCTACGCAAACGGTTTACAAAGTACATTCGATTCCAGATCATCCCTTGAAAACTCAGGTATTTTTTCTTTCAGTAATTATTAAAAAAAATATTTATGGTACGTACCTACTTGCATTTTGCAGAACATAAAACCAACCGGATTAAAAAATACTCTAATTTGATAAAAGAGGTTGAAGAGACCCACAAGACATCAGCGCAAGCAATTAGCAGCGCACAGAAGTTTGATACAATTTCAGCACCTGCAATGTTAAGAAAGTACTCTCAAAATGAATCAATCGGAATTTCTGCTCCATTATACGTGCCTCACATGTCATACTATCATCCTTATGCAACAGCAGCAATGCGGCACCAGTTATGGACGCACTACAATAAAGAAGTTGTTCCAAATCCAATAGAAAGGTTGTCGCCTTCAATATTTTGTTTGAATGGAATTAGTTCCTATAGTTCACTTGATTCAGTACCCGTTTTGCAATCTAAGCAGTGCGAAGAGAGAATGTCTCCAATTAAAAGTTCGAATCTATCAGATGTACCTATTTCTCTTTGTGTGAAAGACATCAAACAGGAATGTAGTACAGGTATATTCTAAAATACTTTAAGACTACATTTATACTTCGCAAAAAAATTTGAAACTCCTTTGGACATATTTTTAAAAATTTATACTAAAATTAAGATATTTTCGGTTTTTAATAGGATTAAATTTTTAACATTTAACGGAATAGCTTTACGATTTTCTTATTCTTATCGAGTTCCATCAGGTTTTATAGATGTTCCCACCGCAAAACTAAAAATGAAAAAACTCAAGATTTTGTACTTAAAAAAATTATCTACGGTCATATACTGCAGTAGGACTTTGCATTTCAAGAAAAATAAAATGTTTGGCCTATCTGCTTACAACATGATTAATGGCTTTACCGAATTACACAGTTACAAGCAGTACTAGTTTTTATACATAAATATTAAACACAATATAGAATATGCCTCTTTTTTGGCTTGAATTTGTTGGTCTAATAATAATTTAATGATTCAACTTAATAATAATTTGCAGTTCTATACCTTAATTTGTCAACATTTATATGTCTCACCCCACTAGGTATATTCCCTATGATATAGGGAATATATTTAATTTGCCACGAAATATAAAACACCAAAAGAAGCATTTCTGACATTATAAAGCTCATCGATATCGATGCATGTAGATAAATATTGAAAATATAGAGGATAGAACTGGAAATGCTAGAGGCTTTAATTGCTATATTCTCCAAATAACAAGAACTTTTCAAATGACTTTGTAATGAACAGTGAATCCCTTTCGGAAATCACTAACATTGATATACCATATCTGGAGAAAGTTGCCTTAAAAACTAAAATAGTATTGGCATTATTAAAAAAAAGCTCTCCTATTTCCAAATATGTTTTTCGAATAACAATTCACAATTATTAATATAAATTTCATCTTCATTTACAAAATATCAATACCCTTTTTTTGAAAGAAAAATAAAATATTGGAGGGAATTAAAGGTAGCTTAATAAGATTTAAATTAAAATTTAAAAACTTAACTAAAATTTTAAAGATTTTAATTAACTAACCACATAAGCATATCTGCTTCAAATACAATTTTCTTCTGAAAACCTGCATACGCATTTCTAATAGCAAACAGTTTTGCATATCTTTAACTAAGTTAATTTGAAAATGCAATAAATTGAAATTGTCGTTATTCTACATATCTTTCTTATATATGAAAATTAAAAACATTGATTTTCGAGAAAAAATTAAAAATTATAAATTTGAATATTTTAATGAAGGAAATATATAAAAAACATTTTTACTTACATTGTTGTTTTCAAAAAAGTCACTGCTTTCAAGTTTAAGCATTTACTATTGCATACATACATAGATATAAATTCAAAACTTAGTTAAAAGAATGTAAAAGGTGTCACAAATTTTTTAAAGAATTAAGAAAAAAAATCTTATTTTTTATTCTCCGAATGTAATATCAGAGAAATACAATAAAGAATCGAAACATTTTTTGGTTACATTAGATTCTCCGATATTAAATTTAATTGAAAAAATTAATTTTTAATTTTCAGAAGGGAATTTTTTTCTTTTGGGAAGAAATTAAACAATACGGAAGATTAAAAAATTATCAAAAAATATTGAATTGTGCAATAATCTATGATTGAATTGTGCACGCATAATGTAAATTTAATGTAAATTTAAATTTTTCCAAGATTTCTATATTTTGACACTTTAAATTTGATATATGTACATATATATGTATAGCATTTGGGAATTTCAAATTTGAAATTTAACATTTGACACATTTTAGATACATAAGTAAGGGAAGGAAATTTTCCATAAATTAAAATATATTTAAATATATCTGATAACCAATTCTTAGCTCAAGCATTACGCATCTTGCTAAAAAGGGACAGTAGTCAAAGCATAATATAAGTTACAAAGAACGAGCAATAAACGCCATCATTTACAAAGAAAAGAAGGAAAAATAATTGATAGTAAAATTTAATAAGAAAGAGGAGTTAGGAGGACATTTAAAATATAATGACAACCACACTGACAGCAAAAGAGACGAAAAAAGGGGTGGACGTGGAAAAAAATTTTTCCGAAATTGAACTATTATTAGTGTTTGAAAACTGCTAAAATTTCAAATTCCTATCTTTAAGGTTGTAGTTAAGGCTATATCTTTAAGATTGTAGAGGTTTTTAAAGACATGTCCACGTACGGGCGAACAGAGTGAAACTAATAAGTACTCTTTTTGAATTTTTTTTTGAAAAGTGTTAAAATAATAATATAAAAGATTTAAATTACTCGAAAGTCTTGATCTAAAAACTTTGCTTGCAGTAGACAAAAAATGAAAATTGACCCGACGAAATAGGATGTTACAATTGACAAAAATTAACAAACTCAACTGGCTCCAAATTCTTTACATTATACCAACGGGGAACCCATCCTAACGACGAAGGAGCCCTGGCAGCCCCAGACACAAGCTGATGCACAAACACTATGTCACAAATAAACACGCACCACTAGCCAAAACCGGCTTATTCTCTCTGCACCATCTGGCAATGTTCCTCTAATCTCACGGTTCGGGCAACTGAAAAAGCGCAAGAGCGTCCTAATAAAAATATAATATCCCTATGACGATAAGAGATTCAAAATAAGTTACAAAGAGCAAAACTTTACGAGCCAATTTTGACAGAATAACCCGATGAGGAATAAATTCGACAGTCTTGCTAATACATGTAAAAATAACATCGATCTAAATAATAGGCACAGAAATTTTATGATCTTTCTACCTTTACAGAATTTACAAATGGTTTAGGCACAGTAGTTTGTCAAAAACTTGATGATTTTAGAGCTATAACTTGTCGGTAGTGGTGATTAAAAAAATAGTAATCTAGAGAAATATGCCTTCACTTGGGTCTATATGTGTACAAGTTTTATCTTTTTACAATATCTTGAGCGGTGTAGACGTTTTGTAGCTGTCAGACGTATGAAAGGGCAAATAGACAGTTAGAGCGAGTTTACTTGATATATGTTTTCCATAATTGAAATGGACAAAACACGTTTGTCAAACAGAGTTCTCATTATCATAACACTGTAATAGCATTTTTGAAAAATTAATTATTCAAAGTTGTAAAAAGCAAAGTATGAAATAAAGATAAAAAATACCTAAATCCCAAATTTGGACCGTTTCTAAATCACAAGTATATGCACTAGTACATTCAGAATCACACATTTTAAACGCAAAGAATGGCTGTAATGGGAAAATATACAAAGAAAATTATTAGAGATTTTTATGAACACAATACTAAAAATTCAAAATAGCAAAAGTTTTTATACAACTGTCAAAAATATATTGCGTATGTATAACATTATTGTTTTGCAGTATTGTGTATATGAAAATCTCTTATAATTTTGACAGTTGTATAAAAACTTGCTATTTTGAATTTGCCGTATTGTGTTCATGAACAAAAATTGTCGTTAACAAAAAAAAATATATTTATATGGGATCAAATAGTGGAAAATTCTATTTTAGGAAAAATAAAAATTAAGAAAAGCAAAAAAAGAAAACATAAACAAAAAGAAATTTTGTTATTTTTAAATACAATAATTAACAATTAAAAATGTAAAACCAAACTACAAAAACCAGTAAAAAAGAGTACAGTTGATTTAACTGTGTCAGTCATGGTAATTTAACTATTTTTGTGATAGATTAGCAATGTTTATATTGCGATATACTGTGTTTATGAAAAAGCCTATTATTATTGCGATGTAATGTTACCTTACTGACTCAATATTATTTTGACATTTTCTTTCTAAATCATATCATTTCTGGCATATATTTTTAAAAATTTTTGTTTACAAACATTGATATTATTAACTACACTTAAATTCTATTAAAATTTTTTTTTTGATTTCGATTAGGAAAATATAAATATGGTTCAATTTTCAACTTTTTTATTTGATTTATTATTAAATTAATATTCGCTCTTGTTCTCTTAGATGCGTCACTTTTTTTTTTGCCACGGCGCTTTTTTTTTTTTTTGATATTTTACTAAATGCGAAATATGATGTGACAAAAAAAGTAGAACTGAAATTTTTTTATGTTAAAAGGTTAGAAAATTGTTTTTAAAAACATTATGAATAACAAATAGTAAACTAGCGAAAGATATTTTCAAACTTTTTTTGATTTTTTGTAAAAGCAAAGGTAAAAGTTATGAAAAAAAATTAAGAAAATGAATTTTCCATTAAGCCGGTTAAAATTTTTAAATTGCTGCCGATCCTTTACTTTTACATTAAAATTAATATAATTACTCAGTATTGCTATTAAAATATCTTATTATACTTATATCTGCTCCATATGTTTTTTAAATTTTGTTTTTCTGCAATTTTTTATCTGGGTCGTCATCAAAATATACGCGACTAAATATGACAGTTTTCAAAAAATGCGTCTAGTAGAATACATTATGTACGTTTTTTGTGACAAATAGTGAAACGCACGTCTAGTAGAATGTAAAATCTGTCAACTGACATATTTTTATACGCGACGCGTCTAGTGGAATAGTGCTAATTGTTAAAAAATAATTACCTTTATTACTTATTGATTTAATATAATAAATTACTTACTTCTTAGCATCCATTTTAAAAACTGTTTAAAAGAAAATCACAAAAAAATTAGTGAACAACGAATTTAATATGATACGCATACGATGCGTATTTTTGCCATCTTTGAACATCAAACTTTAAAAGTGTTACCGTATTGATCATTTTCGTACATAATTTAATTTAACATAATCGTACATTTTATTTTACATCGATGTCGATAATGCATCGATCACTTCCCGATTACGCCCGACGCATGTTTTTATAACATTTTTATGTTAAATTTGTTGTAAAATCTCAACACTTTTATTAGTTATATTAAAATTAAAAGCATGTTGGCAAATATTGCCTTAAGATTTTTATTTCGTAAACATCGCGATACGTCTACATGAACACAATTTCTAAGCACAAATTTCAGTATTACATCTGCATGAAATTGCAAAATCATCAACCCTCTCTTTCCTTTTAATGATTCGGTACCTGGACAGATTTTACGTTTCCTAAGGTTACTTCTGACAACCTCACACGCACACTCGATGGTCATGTAGCAGTCTTTTTTGCCTCACATCCGTCTTTTTTCATTTTCGCCAGTCTCCCTTTTGCGCTATGGTTCACAAATCCCTTTTACACTTACCTCTTGTTGACAAACGGTTATTCTTGAAAAGCTATTTTGGCAAAAAGAACTCGTTTCAATGTCACTCCGTCCTTTCTTTTTTCGTTGGTTCCGTTCCGTCAGTTCTTAGTCCGGAGTTGTCAATCTTTCAGCAGAAGAAGAATAAAGACCTTCGTCTTTGGGACGTCTATTCTATCCAGGATAAACTTCCCAAAAGGGGCTTCACGCTTTGATTTGCTGGTTGCAGTTTTCTGCTCTCCGATCTGCTTCTTTGCTTGGATCTTGTCGGGTTCTGGCAAAGCTTTTAGCATCATTTATAGTTGCCTCTATCCAATAGCCTTGTCCGAATTGTTTTTTTTTTTGCTGCAACGCAAATCTTTCCATTCTTGCTCTAAAACGCGTGACTATCTCGCATTTTACCGGAGAGCTTCGATATCTAAGAGATAATTCATGCTCGCTCATACGGTTCTGAGGGGTAAATTTTGTATATTGCTCTCCATATCGTTCTATAGTAAAAGAGAAAGAAAAAGGCAAATTAATAATCGTTTCTGTAACATTTTCAAAGTCATGAAAATTCAATGTTAATGATTAATTTTTTGCCTTTTTTTAAAGCGTTTTAATATTTTTAATTTCCCTAACAAGGAACGTATAAAAGTAAACTGGGGCTAACGTATCAAAAAATCTCCTATAGGGCGTTTTATTACACTGTACAAGTCTGAAATACAAATATTTCTGAAAATTGTAACATTGGCCTGTCCAACGAATTGATTGCCAGTAAATACTCGTATTCCTAAATACATATTCAAAATTTTGAACCACTTCGATTTAAAATCAATCTGAGGTACAGGCCACATTTTTATACGTTGCCATACTACCAAGACAGAACTAATTTGAATTAAAAACTACTACTTTAGTTTGAGCTAATTTTAATTGTATAATTTATAAACCATGTACTAAACATATCAATATCCGATTTTGAGACTTTGAAATTAAAAGTCATTTTTAAAAACGTAACATGACTGAATTTTTAACTCAGTTCTTTTCCCTGACCAAATTATAATATAGGAAATCAGCGTTGCATATATAACTTTACTCTTTAAATATCTGTGTCACTCATTTTATTCTCAAAAGTTAAATAAAACTAGCAAATCAATTTTTGAGCATTCTGTAAGTTCGGTGTTCTGTATTTTTAACTCGTAGAAAAAATATTCCAGTGAATTTTCATAATCGCTTGCACGTTCTTAACAAAGCATGACTATTTTGGAATTTTACAGAGGATTGAGACTTTTTTATCGGATGAATAAACACCGGTCCAGAATAATGTCTGTGATAGAACATATTTATATTCATATACAGTTTATCTAAAAATGTATTTATGACCTCGTTTAAATTTTCTTTTTCTTATAAAATACTGGTCATCTCAATGTAAATTAAAAAAAAAGAAAAAATAAATACTCACGTAATAAATTTTAAGATTAAATCACGGAGTAGTTTTTGCATAATGTTTTCCGTTTTAATTTTAGATGCTCCATTAAACTTATCAAAACACTAAGCAATAACACTCATCCTCTAAGGGAAGAAGCTTGAAAAGTCTGAATAGATTTGGATTTTTGTATTTGAATTATATAATTGCAACAATTCAAAATTCGATTTATTGGATTTGTTGTGACGATGTACCTGTATGATGCGCACTTAGTTTGGAATTGTATTTTTTAATGTTCTTTTACATATAAACATTCAAAGGAAGTTCATAATTTTTAAAAATTATGAAAAATACAAATAAATAAAAAATACAAAAATGTAGGATTAATTACGATTTTTCTAGGGAAAGATTTTTAAAATTGTGAAACATATACTTAGAAATAGAACTATGTATAGAGAATAACTTACGTTTTCTTTTTAAATTGAACAGAGAAGCTAATACAAAATAGGTAAGTATCTATTTCAAATTAAAAATATTAATATAAAATTTTGTCTTATTCATCAACATTCAAATCAATTCTTATTTAATTTGTGGAAAACCATTAGTTTTTTAAAGGGCATTTTGATTAGCAGAAATTAGCAACTCAAAAATTTGCAAGCCTGGACACTAAGGAGAAGTGAGTTACAGTTCGAATATGATGATTCACACGAATGTATTCTTATTGAATCTCTCACTACACTACAAGAAAAAGAAAATCAAAGAATCTTTTTTATGAACCATTGAATTGAGCGATAATATAAATAAGTACATATAATGCTTTTTTTCTTATAGTGGTAGTATTAGTAAGCACTGAATTCCCTAAACTTTATCATCAAGTTAAAAAACTTAGTAAATGTATTTTTATTATATTCGTTTTTATAATTAGAGGCAAGTTGGAGCAACACATTTCTGAACCATAATTATTTTAATTATTAATAATTATAAAAATTTTTATAATCGTAGTGGTTTATAACTTTATAATTATTAAAAAATTTTAAATTTAATCTAATTTAAACTTAAAATGTAATCAATTTTTTGTTAAAATTTACATTTTTTTCGTGCTTGCTACATCAAAATTTATACTTCTCATGCAATTTAAAATTTTTCGTCACAGAATGAAAAATATAAGGACGAACACCAAAACGAACTTTGATACATATGTATTTTGTTATGTGCCGAGAAGTTTTTACAAGGGAATTAAACTGAGAATAAACTTTGTATGATGATTCCAAAAAATTAGCTATATACGCATGTATGCTTACATACGCATGTACGTACATATGTACATAATAATTTTTATTTCAATAAAAAAATGATATCAGTTCAATTTTAACAATATGTAAGTAATAAGCAAGTAAAAAAGTATCAGTCGGTATAAACGGACAGAATAATACACTGCCAACTTTTATGAACCTATCCTTAATATTTTTCCAAATACTTAAAATTTTCTTTTTGATTTGTATGATAACTATTCGAAACTGTCAAATCCACCAAAACTTCAAGGATACATGTGACCTATAGTTCTATTATTTTCTTGAATATTTTATATTACTTTTTGGAGCTCTATGGTAGTTACCCGAATCTGTCAAGCCATTCCATCAAATTTGCAGCGTTACATCTGAAATTGGATATAAGACACCCAAGTTACATGAATTTAGCTCTAATATTTTTTCAAATATTTAAAATTTTCTTTTAAAGTTGTATAGCAGTTACCCGAACCAGTACAGTCATTCCATTAAAATTTTCAGAATATATGTAGAACGTAATTCGACACCTTTATAATATTTTATATTAATATCTCTATTAGTTTTTGAAATATTAAAAAAAAAAACGGTTGAGTTGTATGGCAGCTACCCAAACCCGTTGTGATTGTGTTATTCGTTTTTGAGTTATCGTGCGGACATGTCTCAATTTACGCTCAGAGTTTTACGCAAAGTATATCTACTAATAAGTAATTCGACTCGTTCCATTCCGTTAGTTTTCATCAAAGTATATCTACTTATAAGTAATTCGACTCGTTCCATTCCGTTAGTTTTGGTTTGCATCTTGCTTCCAAATTCTTAAAATATTCCATTTTTTTTAGAAATAGATGGTAATAAGAGTTGTGTAGGCAAGAAAGAAACAAAATATTGTATACAAACGAGTGTATCAAAAACATTAAACTAAAATAAAATTAAGTTAGGTAAAAATTTTGTTATTTTTATTTTGATAATAACAAAATTTATTTTTCATTTCATAAAATTTAGGTAAAAAATTCGAATGTATGAAAGCAAAAGAGTTTGAAATTTCATTGTATAAATGTACACATGCATGTGCCTGGTACAGTAGATACACAGTATCAGGTAGCGACATAGAAATAAAGTAATTTATAAAGAAAAAAAGGTGTTTGCATACTGATTACTTTATGAAATATAATTATTACCAATTCATGGGAAATATGTTTTAAATTTATTAAGATTGAAATAAAAATAAAAAATTTAAAAATAATTTATTTATTTTATTTAATAATAATAATTATTAATTACAAATGCTTAACACTAAAAATTTAAAATATTTTCAAAAGTACATATTTACCTCTCCACATCTTATGGCAACAAATGAAATTTTCGTGTCGGCTTTTTTGCCTCACACACAAGATTACATCCCAAACACTTCAAACAATGTTTACCCATTATTATAAGTTTTTTTTTTTTTTCACAACTACTTAAAATTTTTTTTAATATTATACATCTTTTTAAAATTTAATTTTATTATTTTTCATATAAATTATAATAATTTTTTTTTAAACACTTTTTTTCCGCTTCGCTTTTATAATATGAATACACCTTTTTGCCACCTTGTACTGGAATAAATTACAGAAATTATTGTGTCGCTTTTAAATAAAGTGTCGCCTTTCAAAATTACATTATAAAAAAACAGGTTGACATCTATTGCGTACTCTTTCCCTCTCCCAAAAATTCTTATGTGCATAAAAATGAAAATAAGAAGGTATACTGCTTAACTCTTTTAACTAAGGTAATTTTTTGTATACAAATATTGGTGAGTGATTGCATTACTGTGATGTAAACGGAGAGTCGAACTACTTGTTAGTATATATACTTTGGTTTTACGCTGAGCAAGAATATATGTACATACCCACACCGGAGACGAGTTGTTTTAGTTGTTACAAACTCCATACCGAGGTAAATATTCCCTTCACGAAGGTGCAGGGTATAAAAAGAAAACAAATAAATGAATTTTGTGCGAAGCTTGAAATAAACGGTATTACTGCATCAACTCTTGCATTATTGTAAAAAATTTAGGCTTTTATTAAAACAAAACACTGTTAAAACTTATAAAAATTCATACATTACTTTCTAAAAATTATACATAAAATAATTTTTAAATTTTTTTCCCTTAAAATTGAATAATATGAAATAGGAAAATGTTCAATCCCACGCGTGCCATAAAAAATTAGGGTTTAGGGCATCAAAAATTGGTAAAATTTTTATCTGGAACTAGTTGTCAAAACTTAAGGGTTTCCGATATACAGGGATTTTAACGAATTTTCACAAAATTCGTACTTTCCCAAGCTTTTTTGCTTATAATTTTACTTCTAAAAAAGATAGAAGTTCAAATGAACAGTTTCTGAACAAGCTAAATAAGGATTTGAAAACAATATTACTTGGTTTTGCATTTTGTGTAGTTTCGGAATACCAACCGTTCGAACTTTGGAAATAAAAGATAAAACTAATCCTTTTCTGAAAGTCAAAAACGGTTGCCACATCACCACTTTGGAAAGATGTAGAAAACGCTAGTCCAAACCGAAATACAAATCCAAGGAAATATAATTATGCAGAATTTATTAAAACTCAAGAAGGATTGAAAGAAAAAAATTAGAAACGACAAATAAACTGTGTGCAATTGAAGGCGTGATGAAGAAGCGTGAAGCAGGTAAGATCGGCTAAGAAAAGGAAACTCTAAAAATTCCTCTCAATAATATAATCAGCAAACCAAAAAACAACCCAAAAAAGAAAAAGAGTGATGAGTGAGGAACTTCAACATTAGTGAGGAAGAAGATGATTTATCTGTATTCGAATCCAGCAGCTCAAGATGGACGGCTTACACTAGAAGTTTTTCTAAGTAAACTTAGAAAAACCATAATACTATATGCGACTACTAGAGGTACAAACACATCAAAACCAGCAGAAAATGAGAGGTCTATAAACCCAAATTATAAGGCTAGCCTTCGAAAAACAGAGCAAGAAAAATCCAAACAAAAAGAAAATGAAGAAAAATCAACCCATCCTAAAACTACAAATGAAAGATTATTTGAACCACCACCAGTAAATTTGTACAACATTGATAATTTTATCAACATCAGTGATATTATACAACAAATTACAAAAGAGCAATGTAAATTCACACTCACATCAAATAAAACGTGGAAAATAAGTGTTCCAAACAGTGATATCTACAGAGTTATAAAAATAATAGAGCAATTAGAGACATGGCTATGGGGACTTGACCATATTTGTAGTGAAAATATAGAAGATCTGAAGGAGTACAAGATTCTTTCGGCCAAAAATTTAATTAAAAGAGCTACATACGTATAGGTTTTAGAAAATGGCATTCGAGTAACAAAAAGACATCCAATGTCAATATTTTGATTAGCGTTCGGCAACAACAGTTATATTAGCGATATATATAAAATCAAGTATATATTAAGTATTTCAGTTAGAATTGAGCCGTTACGTAATAATACAAAACCGGTCCATCAATGCAAAAGTTGTAAAATATTTGGCCCCACACAACATTATTGCACCAGAGAGTATACTTAAGTATAGTTAAACGTGCTGCAAATCACCCAACTGAAAAGTGTGTGCTAAAAAAAGAACACCATGCTAGTTGTGTAAATTGTTTAGATGGCAAGCTGTAGGAGGCTGCCATATAGCAAAAAAAAACCATGAGCAAAGAAAGTCAAAAGTGAAGAACATATAACATAACGGCTCCAGCTGCAGCACACAATCAAAATGAAATATCTACTTTATATGCCGAAATAGTTGAACATAGCAGACAGCAAAGAAAAGATTTCATAATGGAAAAACTAAAAACTAAAAGCAGCGAAACTGGATGACCAATCTAATTTTAACAAGAAGGTAGAAAATCAATTAAATAATATTAAAGAAGAAATTTAAAAAATTAAAAGCATCAGAATATGAATATGAATCACGATTTCCAGATGATAAAGCAAAATTAAACAAACTTAATAAAAAAATTAAGTGAACTTTAAATGAAATAAGAAACGAATCAATAACCACGTACCTTCAAGGTTTAACAACGGAAAAAGATTCACATTACTCACTATGGAAAGCAATAAAAAATTTAAAAGACCAAAAAACCAAGAAGTACCAATAAGAAAGGCAGACAATACTTGGGAAAAAACAGAAAACAAA